AAAATGCATCCTATGTATTCCAATGGTATTTTGGGCCACATGCTCTGTATTGCTCACATGCTTCACACCACAGTATTCAGCTCCAGAGCATGTGGTAAAAAATGCAGCATGCCCTTTTTTTCTCCTCTGGAACGCACCAAAACACATGCAAACACATCAAAAATACATGCAAATGCCCTGGAACGCACTGAAAGACAATTTTTAGGAAAACATTTAATGAAAAACGGTCCAGAAAGGAATCAAAAATGTGACAAAAATGCAGCAAAAAACGCACTGCATATGCAGAAACTCATGCAGATCTGGTCCGGATTTGATATGAACAAGCCCTCAAAGAAACTAGAACATGTACACGTGGGAGAGCCTTAACAAGGGGTTCTTGTTCTTTGTACCGGTCTCATATTTAAAAAGGACTGCACTGTACAACAATCAACACAAGAAAGAAGTATCTTAAAGCAGTATTAAAATCTAATTTTTGCTCAAACACTTACAATCATGTTTCTGAAAAGCTGCTTCCAAATCTCTCAGCTTCCCTCAACTGTTTGTGAAAATACACACACAGCTTACAGTAAAACACAAGAGTGTGGGTGTCACTCTAAAACAGGAAGTCAGGACCAGTGCTTAGGGGACCAGCTGATTCTGCTGGAAACAAACTTTTCAACATCAAGAAGCCGCATCCATTGTAAGTGATTTATTCAGCATTCGGATCAGCTTAAAACACTTTTGACTTTAATATTACTAATTATCAATGCAAGAACAATGTATATGATGGTAAACAGAAAAACCAGACAGGCAGTATGGAGATCTCTCATCAAAATGTTGTAAAGGTACATACTCTACAGATACTGCAGCACTACCAGAAGCCAAAAGAATGAGTTTAAAACATTAAACCACTAGCCTTATTGTACAATGAAAACAAGCCATACATTTATACAAGTGTAGTGTAAAACAACGAATCACAGGCTTTGGCAATAGTCAACTGAACTGACTTGCTTAACTGCAGCCAGGCCCAGCGCTACCGCAAGGCAAGGCAAGTCAGGCGGCCGCCTTACGGCGCTGCAGGGTGAGGGCGGAAAAAACAGGGCATTTTGAAAAGTACTTGTACTTTTCAAAATGCCCCGATGTTTGCGCTATGTTTTTTTTTTTTTCCACTTACCTTCGGTGCGGGAGAGCAGCGGCGAGTCAGCGCTGGTCCAGTGGGAGGAGCTCCAGGTGGGGTCCTAATTTAGCTGGCCGGACCGGGGAGGGGGGCTCAAAAATGCGCCTTGCCTGTGTAGGCAGGAATCCTAGCACCGGCCCTGACTGCAGCAGAGGTAAGTCGGGTCATCAGCCTGGCAGGGCTGTACAAGCCTCAGGACTAAATTGAACTGAAATACAAATTCTTTGGTAGGTAAAACCGCTCATATATACATATTTTAAGTGTGGCTTTACCTACTTGCCTGGGGTTCACCTGTTCTTTTTCAGGCTTTGGGAGCACTGTGGCTTTGAAAGAACTTCACTAAGCGCATCTAAAAATCATCACAAAATGAACACCTTACTTGTGACCCAATCCTCCTCTGGGAGGTATAGATTCCTTCCAGACCGCAGGATGAACTAAGAAAATATATACGTGTATACCCTACTTTAGACACAGGCTGTAGATTTTAAAGAATAATTAACTACCTGGCTCCTGGGATTTGTCCAGCCCTGTTCTAAGACTGGGCTCCACATTTTCACCAAAACTACCAGGATAATTTCACAAGTAAACACACTCATGCTCACAGACCTGCGCTGAGAACGTCGGCACAGTAAGCTGTCTGAGAAACGGCAACACTAGCGCCTAATTAGCCATAACCATTACTCGGTACATTACAGTAACCAGCTGAAAAGTAATCATCACAAACACCCTATGGAACAAATTAGTACAAACATTTTGTTCAACGCATGCATTTGTTTCCCCATAAACTTTCCTATAATGTCCTCCCATGGATATTTAGAACACTGACCAGCCCTTGGTCTGTGCCCTTCTGCCTATTCTAATAAAGAAGAGAAAAAGTTGCTATGTTGTACTAGAGCCCTTTACAGAAAGCCCTTAGACAAAAAATAAAAAGCCCTTAAAAAGGACCATCATCATGGAAAATAATGTATTCTGACAATTGTGGTTAATTCATGTTAAGAAAGTATATAGATTGCTTCTTATTTTCACATTTACATGTAGAACAAGCTGTCTACCAAAAGTGGGATGCAGGGTTGGAACAAAGTATGGCACTGATACTAAGGATTACTCACACCCAAGTGGAAGCCATCTACTGAAATACGTAACTTCAGTCTTTGCAGAAAAAGAAAAAAAAGTATCAGCTATGTCTAGCTCCTACCGTGTGCATGCATGCTGCTCATCCCATTAATGCCTATGGCTGGGGCCATCAGGAGTACAGACCCAGGGAAATAAATGTATGAGGCGACCAACAAGAGCTGAACACTGCCAGTATTTTCTTGATTCTTTATAACTATTTCCTCCGGTATCAAAGGGTTTAAAACAGCTTTGAACTTTGTTAGAAATTCCCTGCTGCAGATCTCCAACTCATGTAAATTGTAAATTGCTTGTGGAATTTATACTTGTGCAACCTACAAGTTCTTTAAATTGTTAAATAAAAACATTTTGAAAGGGGGGGGGACCCTAACCCTAAGGTCCTGTGCCAAGGCAAAGTTATTCCCGTGGGCATCATCCAGACCCAGCCAATCAAGAGGCTGAAGAAGCCAAACCTGGAAGAAGATGGAAATGCTGACGAGGAAGGCGAGCACTGACATCACAGTGCTTGAGAGGCTCACCTGTCAGGTAAGTCAGCCATCGTGTGCTAATATCCTGTGCACACTACTATGGCATACATCTCTTACTATTTGAATTTTGTGTTGGCGGTATAAGGCTGCATTCACACCTGACCGTGAGCCTTCACAGCCGATATTGGAGCATTTTCGTGAGGTTTTTTTTTTTAGGCCTATTCAGGCCTGAGCATTTTGGTTTTAGTCAATGGAAAGCTAGGTACTCACAGAAAGGACTTGTGTCTTAAGAAACTGCTTAAAGGAGAACCATGAGGTGAGTGCTTCTCACTCACCTCATAGTTCTAGCCGACCTGTGACAATGAGACTGTCACAGGTCGGCTCAGTAGATCGGGAGGTCAGCGAATCTATACCAGCGTTCGCTCACCTCTCGATCCTGTCACGGCTCTCTGCCGTGACAGGGGAGGGGCTGAATTCTCCCCGATCCAAACCACCAGTGCTGACTGGCGGAACGGATGGGGGAGGGGGCGGGTAGAGCTGGCTATGCCTCTAGATAGGCAGAGCCAGCTGTCACTCACGCAGCTGGGCGGATCTCAACATCGATGTCGGGATCTGCTCCGGCGTCTCAGTATACCTATACTGAGCTCAGGGTAACGGGAGGACGCTAGTTTGTGTCCTCCCGTTACCCTAAGGAGAACTATGGGGAAAAGTCCTGACCCCATAGTTCTCCTTTAAAGACCCATACGTGCCTCTGTATCTACTTTGGATTTGTATGGATATTTTCGTGGATAAGCGTCCAGGCATTTTCCTTACAAATAGAGTGCAGTGGCTACCTCTGGGACTACTAAGAAGATTGTCATTTAGCCTTAAAAAAAAAAAAAAAAGGGAAGCTCATTTTCAGGCCTTTAAGTCTATGGGGCCAAAAAAACAAAACAACCATTCTGCCTCAAAAGTAGCTCATGTACCTTTTTGGGCTTCAGGCAGCGAGCTACAGGTGTCTGAGTGCTTATATGTGAACAGGTATAAAATATATATATTTTTGTAAATTACACAATCCCTGGCAGGGCCACAGGGATCTTGTCCTGCATTACACTGTAGTGGCCACAACTACTACAATATATATTACAGCATCTTCCAGGTCCCTGCTACAGCCGCTGTTCTGAGCGACTTCCCTGTACTGCGCATATAGCGGCCATTCAGAGGACACTTTAGGGCCAATTGACACAGTATGTGTTGGGGCTGCGTTGGCCATTGTTATAATTTGCCTTGCCGTGGACAGGCTTGATTCAGACCACCGGATTGTGGTGGTGTATGCTGAAAGTAGAAAAAAAAAAAAATTAAAAGTACAGCATGCTGTATGTTTTTCAGTGCAGCATCCTGCAACACAGAATAATCACCACATACCCCACTGTGTCCATAGAACTGAATGAAATGTCACTTGTGACATCTCTATTCCTATCGTCCAACGCCTGGGACATGCAGCTCTGGGCGCCGGGCAGGTGTTTTTTTTCTACATTTAGCCCTGCTGTGGTTAACCAGCAGAGGTAAATGTAAAGCAGGGGAGTCTTTGTGTCGCCCAAATCACTTGTAAGCAGCCTGCTCGTCAATACCCCCACCGTGGTTTTCAGACCCATCCACACTTCTGGGGGACTTGGGACCACAGCAAATTACTTCAGGATGGAGAGCGGAGAAAGTAAAAAAAAATAATCAGGGCAATGCAACGGGATCGGCGCATCAGCACTGTGTTGGGCAACGTACACCAACCCCTGTGAACCAGCCCTTAGTATTTTTCTCAATAAATACTAGGCATTCTCTGATTGGACAAGGGATGCTGCCATGATGTCACCTGTAGCTCAATAGGATGCATGAGCTACATTATAAACAAAATCTAGCTCCATAGACTTCAGTGTAGGCACCTAAAAATGAACATTTTCAAAGCTAAAACAAACCAAAACACAAATAAGATCACGCCAACGTCACATGTAAACGCTCAGGTGTCAAGCAGCCATTGGCACTACCACAGCAGTGTTGTATACTGAGTAAGTGCCATCATCCCTGCATACATTGCTACTTCACAACAGGAAAGATGGCCAGATGGAAGTTGCCTGGGATGAAGAGTCATGTCACTGGGCTGTGAGGCTATAAATGACACTGCAATGCGAGTATGAATTCCGCTGAGCGGTGGGTGTGACATCATGTAGTGGAGCGTGTCGTAGCAGTTACTACTTCAATGCCGAATTGTATACCTATGAGCGGGTATCCGCTGACTGCCGAGTCCTTTGCCGACTAGGAAATGCACGTCACTCAGCACTTCGTTGTTAAACAGGAAAGTGAAGCGTTCCCGCACCGTGGTCTTAGTGGCTTGCCAATTGTACACGGGCTCTCGGTGCAGGAGGCCGGCGGCCGTGGGTAGCGGCGGAGGCGGAGCCGCTGGAGGCGAGGCACCGGCCGCTGCAGATGCGGTTTGGTTCCCCGGGGAGGAAACCGCTGCCCCTCCGCTGTAGTTGTACGAAGAGGACACCGTCCCACCGCGATTGCTAGGGGCGCTGTTGCTCACTACACCGGAGAACGAAAGGCCACCATTCCCACCCGCCGCCATCTTGGATGGGGGAGGCTCCTGTGGGCAGCTGTAGGCGGACGCAATTGGAAGTTCCCAATAACTGTTCGCAAATAAAACCTGACAGCAGCGACGCATGAGGCGGCGTGGCCCTAATCGCTATGGCAACGGTAAAAGCGCACTCATCGGCTTGACTAATTATAGGTGGGACTTGTGACCTTGACTACGAAAGATGTAAACGTTCTGGCCTGTTGATTGGACGAGTAAAGTGACGGCGTAGCGCTCCAAAACTGCTGCCACTTTGTTTAGTTCCTGTTTGTCTTCCAGGTTCCATCTTGGATAACGTGTCCACTGTAGGAGTGCGCTGATTGGTGCTGCCAACAAACTTCTCACGTTCACGCTTTCGTACAGTATTGACTGGCAGGGGAGTAAAGTCGGCCACTTTCACTTGTCCTTCCTTAGGAGTAATCCATTTTATAGGCGCCTTCGTCGTTTCTTGCGGGCGGTCATTAACTTAATCTAATATTAAATACAAAAAATGCTGCTTGAACTCTAGTGGATTCCGACATTATATATTATTTTAGGCTTCCCAGCCTTTTCCTTGAGAGCCGGTTCACACCACAAAGTTCGCTGCAAGCACTATTTTTCCAGATTGCATTGGACCTAGGTGACATTAGGGGTCTCGGAGACCCCTGATTTCTCCATAAAGAGGACCTGTTATTTGAATTGGCTATCACATAGGGGATTTCTTAGTCCCCTATGTGATAGCAATAAAGTTGTGTAAAAAAAAAATTAAAACTTAAAAAAAATAGTGACAAAAAAAAATTGTAAAATAACACAAAATGTCTTTTAAAGTCCCCTGGCCCCCCACATACACACGCAAACATGCGTCGGATGTGCCTTCATGCAGAAATGACGATTGCGCCCATTACGTCACACATGTTACATATGGCAACGAACGTCGGAGTGCGAGCTATAATTTTAGGGCCATAAATTACTGATAACACTAAACTGATGAGCGATAAAAGCGTTTAAAGTGTTGCCTATTGATTATGGAACCTCTCGGGCTCCATCATGATGGAACTATGCACGCTCTATTGTAGCGGGAAACAGCTGTTGGGAAACCAGCAATGGACTCCGGACACAGATTTCAGGAATACAAATCTTTATTCTCTGCAGAGGACTCAGGTGACTACCGTCTCCAATTCCTGAGTGGCCCTTTAAGGGCGGTCACTACATATATATAACAACAATTACGTCACATTACATATTTCTAATACACATATTTCCTTTACAGCTCTAAGCCAATCAGCAAGCAGCATTTGCAATTTTACCATTTATGGTTTATGTATCCTGTCAGATCCTTTTGTCATTAACTCATGATCGATTACTAATAGTCTTGCGAGAAGCGGGATCTAAGTCACAAGATACTGTCATCAGCAAAATTACACTCTAGGACAAAAGTCAGACGGCCTTTTCCACATTCTTGCTCTCTTTTGCATGTGTGGTTGAAATGCAAGAAGGAGGGAGGGACAGAGGCCTTATTATATATAGATACAAAAAACATGAATTATTTAAATATATTTAGCCATCTTACCTGCTGCCACACACTACAGTACTTATACCTTTACCTGCTTCTTATTTCGATCTGTTGGTCCTACCCGGACTTTCTTTGTTGTTAGATACTCCTTATTTGCTTTGTATAACTGAAAATACCCAAATAAAAAACTACTGAAAGTAAAGTGTTGCCTATTTTTGGTGTGGACGTTTTCTCCAATTTTGCGGCTTGACCTGTTTGGTGTCTATTTACCCGACATAGATGTAAAGGATATCACCAGCACACCATGCTGTGTTCAGCAAAAGTTACTTTTTTGGTTATATAGTAAAAAATATAAACCCCAGTGGTGATTAAATACCACCAAAAGAAAGCTCTATCTGTCACTAAAAAATGTCTATCTGTCCCTAAAAAATTGTATAAAATTTGTTTCAGTACAGCGTTGCATGACGGAATAAATGTCAGTCAAAGTACTGCAGCGCTGAATACTGAAAAATGGCCTGGACAGGAAGGGGGTTTACCACCCCGGTCTTTAAGTGGTTAAAGATATCTCGCCTCACTCCAGACCGACATACAGTATCTCTTCTTGCAACTGCAAGGTGGTTACCTTAGGTGGCATCTCTTTGGTTCATGTGGGCTCTTAGCAACCTGGGTTGCTCTGCCTGGCATCCCACCGCCCAGCTCACTGACGTCACTGTTTGCTAGGAGCTGAGTGGAATGCTCGGGGGGGTGTCCTGCCTAGCTCCTGACAACCAGTGAGCTGGGCAGGGCACCGGACAGAGCCAGAGTTAATGTGCACCACCACCAGCACGCCCCCCCCACCCCTTCCTAGTAACATGCACTGCCAGAGCTCCCCTTTTACCACCGCCTCCCCCTAGCGATATCCACCCTTCCCAGACCATGCACCACCAGCACTCCCTCCCCCTTCAGGCGGCAAAAAATATAGGGACACCTCTGCATCCACTTTAACAGTATATTAATTAAGGCTTGTATCTTGAAGACTCTTCTCATTTTTGCTACTGCTTTTTCAAGTCTTCAAGCATATATCATTGTGCAAGTGAACAATGTCCTATTAGTTGTATTATGACTTCAGGTATTATTATCTAAAGTAGAAAAAAACAGTCATTCCTCAGAGCCCCAATGGTCCAGCAAAAGATAATGGATCCACAGCTCGTAAGTTTTCTCAAACATCTTTTAGGTATTGTGGACGTGAGTTTATCATTGACCATCATCCAATTTGGTGGTTGTTTTTTTTCCCAATTATTTGCTATTGGCTGATAAAAGGATATACAGAATTAGTTGTTTGGTCTATTTGGGAAGGTCAACATCAAATTTAAGAAATAGAGCACACTGCAGGGATCTGAGTAAATTAGCATGTGTCACTGAATAAGTGCCTACCCAAACTTGTCCATTTTGATGCAGCAAATTCCATGCTCTCTTATGTGGCTTGTTCACATCTATGCACTGCAGTTTAGTGTTAAAGGCAAAGGGAAACTCTATGGACCTATTCACACCTACATGTGTGCATTACCATGGGTGCTACATGCACACGGAAGAGTGTTAACCCAGGCAGGGCCGGTGTAAGGATTTTTGCCTAATGTAGAATATGATTTTTGATATCATATTTTTATGTTATATTCATATTCTTGTTCTTAAGGTGAAAAGTTTAAAAGAGGAAAAATAGCTTCCGTTCTTGCTTAAAACTCATAAATGTGTTTAATTACAAAGTTACAAATGATTACAAGATTAATAGCATAAAACAAAATATAGAAATATGTAGATGTATAAATAAGTTCTTGTAAGTGTTTAAAGTGTTAGCATCTCTGATACAGTCTTTTTTGATAATAAGGAATGTGTGAGGTTCTAACCAGAAGGCATAATTGATGAGTACCATATGTGCACCTTAACCCTAATACTACTTTCTAGAAAACTAAAACCATGGACTTTTATAAGTCACCTTGCATTTATTCCTTAACTGAACAAATGTATATAGAAAATCAATCATCACATATGTTACTTGCATACATAATCCCTATATGAATAATACCCTTGTAACACCTACACACACAGGTGAAGGTGCATTTACACCCCCACCCCCCGCGGCCTCAGACGGCTGCACAGGCTAGCGCTGGCCCTGACCCCATTGCTCAGTTTTTCCCAAAACCTGAAGTCATTTCCTCACTAGTATAATATCACACTTTAACCCCTTCGTGACTGACGACGTACAGTGTACGTCGCCAGCATCGGGGCTGTTTAAACAGACTCCCGGCGACGTCTGCCGCCGGGAGTCTGTTTAAACTTGTAGAGCCGACTGTCGGCTTTACAACAGAAGCGATTCTG